TAATTGGCAATTATCCCATTTGTTTATGAAATTAAAATTTCATTAACCAAAGGGGTTAGTATGCAATACTCTGTAATAAACTAGGACAACTGCTCATTGCACTGCCACAAATCCTCGAAATAACAATGCCACATGCATTTGTTACAACCATCATATTTTAAATTATATTTCAAAATCAATCCTTTAAGACTGTACACAGTAGGTAAATTTATAGATAACTTACACTGACTTCAGAGCCACTTCTTGGAAGCGGCCCCTGTGTCTTTATTGTTATGACACTGCCTTGATTTTGTCTACCTGTTGACATCTCATCATCTGAACTGCTAAGATCTTCGTCGTATTTAGGACCCGCACCTTCACTACTTGCTATACTGGTTATACTTGCACCACTATCTGTACGCCTAAATAAACCAAATATTAATTAATAATTATAATCAAGTATACAACGTATACTTATGTATTACTGTTGAGATTTCCCAAACTGTTTCAACTTCCAAAGAAAATGAGCTTCATAAGACTGCGATTTTCGTGGAATACGACTATTCTTAAATCATCAAATCGAAAAAAAATTTAACAGTGGGAATTTGATGCTTTATGCTGCATTAGAAGCACATGAATGTGCGGCGACTATGTTTGTTTTGATTCTACTGAAAGTTGGCCAAGTTTACACTCATACATGTATATAATATTAATAGCTTTTACAAAGAATTTATACAAGTACATGCAGCAGCAAATATTATGTGTACATATCGGTAAATATACCATACTCGACCAACTTAGCGTACATGCTCAGCTAAGCACACCCCCCCCCCCACACTTTTGGGACATCTCTATTCTCGAGTTCAAGTTTCGCGAAGCGCCCATCTCTTACAAAATGCCCCTAATTTGACTGTCTTATCATAAAACCTAGTCTTTGATCATTGTTTGACTTTTCTGAATACTGGTAATTGTTTTTATATAAAACAGTGTGGATATCAACTGCCATGAATATGTTTTGATTGCATTGTTACTCAATATACTGTTAAAGTTTTAATTTCACAAGAGAAACATTTGATGGAAAATCACAACATTTTTAAGCATTGGAGATTTTACTGGGCATGAAGTCACAATGACGAAATTTCTGATTCTGATATTTATAATGTTTATTATATGCCATGGCATGTATGTATGGGGGTCTAAAAACTAACTCTGCCACGCGATTGTGCGACTCGCCGAATGCCGATTATTGCACTCTGCGACAGGATCGCAGTGTCACTCTGCAAAGAGGACGATTCCTATTGGTTGGTGGGTCGAACAGCACGAATCCCAATGGTCGATGTTCACCGCAGGCCTTATAAAAAATTAAGTTTTAAATGCTAAAAATGGTATGGTAAAAAAATATGCCGCACTGTTCGGTGATCGACAAGCACATGGAAGACAAATTGTGGGACCAAACAAATGACACATGGTTTACGGGGATTAGACACATCACACCGCTGGCTCGAAAAGTTGAATAGTGTAACGTGCAACTTGGTTTTGACTGCCTATTTACAGTGTAACGTTATCGCCATCGCTCATTAGCATAGGCGGCAGCTTCAAAGCGAGTGGAACGCGAAGTACTTGTCACGCGTTCTGCAACGAATGTTGTACGTCTGCTTTGACTTTGTTGAGTGCATCAAGGAAAATAATTTGAATGCAGTGAAAAAAAATCATTCACGTGACGATGTGCAACATTTTGCCATGACAGCAGTTGTTTGCAATCGTCTGCCTTCGTTTAGATCATAAACGGACTCCACACTTGTGGCCTACGATCGAACAGCTGGTATTTTAACCACCAGAAATGAAATACTTTGTAACAGTTGTGAAAAATAAACAAAAACGGCGTTGGTTTGTGGTATGAATGTAATTATTTTTGTATCATAATTTTCGAAGTCAGTATTACTGAAAATTATGGTTTATTTTTTTAAATGAAAGCCAAATTTCGGTCGTAATGCAGAGAGAAGGGAAATTTTCTTTTTTTTTCTTGATTTTTCAATAATTGATAAAATGGTTAATTTGTACCTTGATTCATCATCCAAGCTTTTTGAAATTTCGGAAAGACCAGTGCTCAAACGCTAACACTACCGTAAAAATCATATTTGAGGCCGCAGCTTTAATAGAAGCCGCACCCCTAACTTGAGACATTGTTTCATGTTGAAATTGACAAGTTTTGATCCCAGGAAAAAGTCTGCAATATAAGCCGCACCCCAAACTTTCGCAAACCAAACAGCCACCACATATTTCAGAAAAAGATATACCATTTATTTTTAAATTAAGGAAAAATTTTTCTAACATTTTAATGTTTCCTGAAGCTCAGATTAGAGTCTAATTAAGGTTTTCCGTAGTCATTGACGCTTATTCAAGAGTACAGGTTTATTGTGGGTAGCGTGACTGGGTAAACTGCGTTTCCACAGTGAGCTGTTATTATCGTCAAAAGTGTTAAATTCTTCTTCAATGCTCAGCTCATCTTTCGAAAACAACTAATTTCTTGATTTAAAAAAAAATCATGCCGTTTTCCCATCAAAATCAAAGCCAAACGATCGCACCACAACAACGGTAAATTGCTTCCGCGTTTCGTTTACCATGAGGTCGCTGAACTACATTAACATATTTAAATGAGCTATGGTAATCACGTTGGCACCATCCAGCGTTTCGATTGGTTAATTAGCGACTTGACCTATCAGGTCAACAAAACAGTTTGAAGAGACTAGAGAGATGTTTGAACAAACATGGCGGATCTCGTATCGGATCGAGCGTTTATATGTGACCGCTTGCGGTGAAACCAAGTTGAATTTTCACAACAATTCAACGAATTTATTTTTTGTACATTATTGTAATCACTACTGAGTAATAATCAGCAATTGTAACACTTCGAAAACAAGTAAGTTATT